ATCGTACATGATTCAGCATACACACGTCACATGTTACATAAGGTTCACAAATAGTCGACATACATCAGAATTCAAATATAATTATTACAACACGAGGTTCAAATTCGGTAGCGAAAGCAACATAGTTTTAAAAACATATACACATGCAATTAGTTCAATACATGCCTGTTCCATGATAAGTCCAACAAAAGCAACATACATAAGATACTAAAGAAGGCCTTGCCCGCGGCCTCACTTCTCTTCCACAGCTGGAGAGAAGCAGTACTCACAGTAACCATGGTACATTACACCATCTGCAACAAGGGGGAATAAACCCTGAGTACGAGGATGTACTCAGCTAGACTTATCCATCATAAACCAAAAATAAATTAACACTAAGGAGTATGCAAGACTTTTGATAATGAGACTAGCTTGACAACATTTTGCATAAAAACTACTAAAATAAAATCCTCCATTTTAATTATTCTAGCATCAAGTTAAAGAGAGGTATTTATTTATACATTTCCAACTATCCTGTAGCAAACAATTTATTTAGGACCTCGCCATCACATTAGTAACCATATCAAATTAATTGGGAAACAACATAACCATCATATTACTACGAATGTTGGAAGCTCATTCAAGTTTCTCACTATTTGGGAGAGACGACGATTTGAATCGGTTGTAACCATCTGGGCAGAAAATCCATAACACAAACCCAGGCCCACCAGCCACGGTAGCCTTAGATCACCTTTGGTACAATTCGGGAACAGGAGTGGGTTTGATCTATGCCGCACACTCAGGGACTAACCGAAAGCCGGGATGTTCAGACAACAGTCTGCCCAAGATCCTTCTGTGTCCCCGCACGTACATCCTCTTCTGCAGTGTGCACGCCATCATAACAACTCTCAGCCCGAATTGAGCTACTCGGCTTCGCGGTCGGAACGACTTATTCGGCCAGCTAAGTGAAAAAACAGCGTTCAATCTCGAACAAGATCCAACAACGGTACGATCTTTAACCGACACAGACGGGATAAATATAGCCAAACCTAACACCATATGCATATAAGATCCCGCCCGGTCTCCATTTATATAACACCACATGGTTATTTTTCCACGATAGCAAATATAGCCAACCATGACTAGGTATCCACCTATAGCTCGCAGGTGACAGGAAATCACCTGACTTCTACCAGTCTAAGTATGGCTAAGCATAAGTTTCGATCCTAGACCTAAAAAGGGGTAACAAAGTATATTTCTGGACAAGGAAAATATATATGCATTGCATCAAACATAAAAGACTCAAGATATTTTTAATAAGTCATGGGAGGCTTAATATGCTCCGGGGCTTGCCTTTGAGAAAGCTATCGGGAACGTGCTCCGGACACTTCGGCAGCTCCTGGACCTGTCCTTCCCCTTCTGGACCCTCTGGACCTCCGGTGGAACCTCCTCTCCCACCGTCTCGAGCTCCAACAGCGTCACTCCTTCCGACGATCCTATATGTATGAATACATGTATAAATAAAAGGGAATGCACGAGAGATGACATGCATGTATGGTATGATGCAAACATGGGGCTGGTTAAACACATGATATAACAACAGCGAGCTTATTAATTTAATTATGTTAAGCATGGTGGAAAAATGTGATTATCCTCCTAGTCATTTTAATAGAGTAGGTGCATATCTCTTCTCTAAAAATAAAAACATCACCACGTTCTAGCAACCTAAGGTACAACTCTTCATCAGCAGTAAGTGATCTAAGACCTGCAGCTAGTAACTTATTTTAATTAGCTTAAGCAACTATTACTGAGCCACAACTTATACAAAGCAAACAAGGCAAGATAAAGCTAGACAAGTCAATTATAAGCAAGAAAAGCTAACTGCATACAAGCAGTTGAATCTGAGCACAACCAACTACACCAACAGATTATATACGTCACAAACATGCTAGAAAAGTATATGGTTGGACCCAAATAAATTATATATAAGCCTTTCTTAATTTACTAAGTTAGCAAGATGAAACAGAGAACTACTACTTTCTGTGCACAGTAAACTCTAGGAAAATTACAGCAGCCTAAACATGCTTCCAAGAGTCCACTGTATAAATTTCATGCCTTTTTAACAAGTATATCATCCTCTACAAAAATGACAAGAAAATAGGCTTATAACAACTTAAATAAGTTCATCATAGTGAAGAGTGTTAAACAATGGATTTCAGATTTTTCTTGCATCCAACATATCACCAGGAAGCTATGGAAATTATTTCATACACAGAAGATACATATATTAGACATACTCATTTTTACATGAAAACAAGCATTATACCAAGTTAAATCAAAACTTCACAGCAAAAGCATGCATACTGCGGATTCATTATTTTTCCTAGCAAGTATATGACAAAACAAGACCAACAAAACTGGAACCACGAATTTTGGATACTTCTAACTTGAGTTATGCATTTAACAAGATTTCATAACATTAAACAATTATAATTCAAACAACATACAAAATTGTAGCACACAGCAAGTTTTATATTTTTATTAGATAGAACACTCCAAGATGTTGGTTTCACTCAAATTGGACTATCCTAGCTCAAGATGTGGAGTTTACAAGACTAGCACATTTTCTTCACACAAGGGAGATAACATCACATTTATCACAAGTTGCAACAAGGTATTTATTATTGGAAGAAAGACGAGGGAAGCATATTCATGCACAAACCAACAATCATGATGCATACTCGTCTTATTCGTTCTCACAAAATTGCTAGCCTAAGGTGACAATAACGTTCTATTTCGGTGGCATAACACGTACTCTCGTGATATATAGCTAGTCGTCAGCTACATTTAATCTACGCATTCGTGGTTAGTGTACCTGCAGAAAATTCACATCCCAGCCCACCCCAACATACATTATCATTTACCAATATAGATAAGTAGCACCCATGTGATTCCATGATGCATGGACAATAGAATTTTGTGGCCTATATATTATAGTACTCAGGGTTTTATCCCACCCTGTTGCAGGTAAAGGTTTTGGCCTGCTGAAGGTGGCGACTAAGTGTCGGTGGGCTCGGCGACTCCGTATTTATTTCTCATCTATATGTTTTTGTTGGAGGATGTCATTTAAGCTAGCAACGTATTTCAACTTATGATATTGTAAGCATTTCAAAGCTATGTTATTTTATCTAATTAGATTTGAACTCAGTATGTATTATGGATTTGTCAACTCAATTGTAAAATTATTTTCGCTGCAAACTCTGTGTACGTGATGTGTATTTGCTTAATCTATTACGATCTTGGTTGTGATGTGGATTTACTGAGGTCCTTCGTGACACTCAGCGAACTACTGGGTTTATCTAAATGAAAGTGTGTGCGCGCCAACGTGTTAGTGGGGGCAGCCATACTTGATATATAAATTGGACGGTTCTATCACAGCTGCGGTGCGAGCGAGCGTCTTGGCACAGTGGCCTTGGAGTGGCCTCAACACGAGCGGGCCACTGCGCGGAGGCCCGAGCGGCCCTCGACATGGCGGTGCAACAGCACCGATGATCCCAATCACGGGCGGACCAGCGGCAGGTCCTACACCCGTGAGTGGCTCCCCGGCGGATTTGGCTCTCTCTCCCAGTCGTGCGGGCGCTGCCTCCTTGCCGTGTCATGCAGCCGCCACCGTCGGCCCACAGTCTACGAGCGCCGCCGGGCCGCTGTCTTCGGTGAACTCCGCACGCTGACGAGCTTCCATTCTCCCAAGCGGAAAGGAGATGTTGCGGTGCGCTAAAAGCACATGTTGCAAGAGTATGTTCCAAATGTTTCATCTGTTTCATCTAATGTTGCAGCCTGTGTTTTCATGTTGCAATGTAAGTGTTTTATCTGAAAGTTGCATATGTTGCAATGGCTATACGCGTATGTTGTAAGTGTATGTTTCAAATGTTTCAACTATTTCAGAAATATGTTGCAAGTGTTTTATCTGAATGTTGCATATTTTGCAGTGGCTATACACATATGTTGCAAGCTATGTTTCATATGTTTTACCTGTTTCAGACGTATGTTAGCAAGGAATGAGAAACGAGCGTTAGGCAAAGACGGTCCCGTGTGCATGTGCAACAGCATGGCGTGCGTAGGCGCGCCAGCAGCAGGCACATGCGGACGCGTGTAGTAGGTGCATGCGGAGTACTAGGAAATCTCGTGCTTGTAGTTGGGGTCCACGACAATGATCGGTTGCAGCTCGCGTGTTTCGGTGACTATGCATCAATGGAGACTGGCGCATGTGGACACGTGTAGTAGGCGCGTATGGCAGCAGCATGCGCAGCAGGCAGGGCAGCATACTTAGGCGCACAACAGCAACAAGCGCATGCGGGGCAGGTGACAGCAGCATGCGCATTAGGCAGGGTAGGCGCGAGCATCCGGACGGGGCTAGAGGCGTCCGGGCGCTAGCCACGCTGTTAACATAATCATAGGTGAAGAAATCATCATTCATACCCGACCTAATTTAGGTAAATGAATCCATCGGGTATCTAGGTTTTGGGTACTCTTGCTATCTCTACCCGCGCCCGCGGATCAGTAGCTCCTTCTCTTCGTCACGCTCCGCAGTCCGCACAGCAAAGATCTCAAACAAACCGAATAGAGCGGGAAATCCGACGATCGTGTGACCCATGCAGTGGTTGGCCCCAACGTAGCCCAAATCAGACGAGACGCGGGCCGTCGGCTCGGCCTTCCCCGCATCCCGGGGCGAGACGACCGTCCCAGGCCGTTCAGTATTGATTGGACCAGGCCTACGGGCTACGGCCCATGTCGTATCGCCTTTGCGTTGGGCTGTTCTTCCTGGTTCCAGCAACAAAGCCTTTCCGTTCCGTGTCCAAGATTCTCCTCGCAGTCCGCCCCGACTCCGCCGCCGCCGCCACCCGCCGGGGCGCAACCTGCCCTGCTTCCCCTTCAGCCTTTACCCCATCCGCCGCGCCCATTCTGCCTGCCGCCTCCTGCTCGCGCGCTTACTGTAGCCGCAGCTTTCTCCACCCTTGGCAATGGAGGCCGCGGTCGCCCACGCTCCACCTGCTCCGGCCCTGCGCCGCTCGCTCACCCTCAGCCCCACGCCCGCCGTCCGGCCGGACCCAAAACCCTGGCAGGGGGTAGTGCTCTCGGCGAGGCGCCAGTCGAACGCCGTCAGGTGCGAGCGGTTCCGGCGCCCGGAGGCGCGCCTGCGCGCGGCCGCCGCGGCGCAGCCGGGTGGTGCTGACGCGGCAGCGGCCGGGAGGAGGAAGCGGCTGGCGGTGTTCGTGTCCGGAGGGGGATCCAACTTCCGGGCGATCCACGAGGCCGCGCTGGGCGGGGCCGTGCACGGGGATGTCGTCGCGCTTGTCACCGACAAGCCAGGTGAGGGAAACTGCACCCCCGCGAAGCTGCCCACGCTGTGAGCGGAGGCTAAAACTGCGTAGCAGGTTGCGGTGGCGCGGAGTATGCCAGGAGCAATGGCATTCCTGTGCTCGTGTTCCCCAAGTCCAAGTCTGCGCCCGAGGGGATTTCGGTTGCTCAACTGCTGGATACCCTGAGGTTGTTTCCTGCTTATTATACCTGTCTCTGATTTTCTTGTATCAATTTCAGTTTAGTAATAACTCGGGTGAAAAGTGTCGCTCAGATTAATTCACGCTTTCTTATGTTTGTTTATGCCAATAAAATACACACACAGTCACGCTCGACTACATGTACAGATACTTTAGCTAAGTTCTGCCAAGTGATGATTATGTTTCTGCATAATTAGAGATGTTGTTACTTCTGTGAATCCTCTATCTATCTTTCCGCTGATATTTGTGCCTTAAACTTTAGCACAATGTTCAGTTAGAATAATACTATGAACAAGTCCATCATCAAGTGCCGCATTGTTACATGGACTTACTCTTGACTGTAGATACTATGTGGTCTGCTTTGTTCTCTCTGGCATTGGATTGTGCTAATATCTGGATTTATCTTGTGTTTTGTAAGATATGTTTTGTCTGACTAGTGAAATAAGCCTAATATTTACCTTTGAAACAGGGGATACAGTGTAGACTTTGTTCTTCTTGCTGGTTACTTGAAGCTTATACCCGCTGAATTGATCCAGGAATACCTGAAGTCCATATTAAATATTCATCCTTCTCTCCTTCCGGCATTCGGAGGCAAAGGTTTTTATGGTTCAAAGGTGCATACAGCCGTTATTGCCTCTGGAGCAAGGTAATTTACAATTCTCTAGCATGTCCAAGTAACTGCATGTCTCCATTTACAAATGATATAACCGGCTGCCTATATGATACATTCAATTGTTGATCCCCTAATAAAACACACTGTGATGCATGAACTCGTAATTTCAAGGAACATAGTGAGAGAGCGAATAGGTCTCGGAATTGATTGATAGATTAGCAAAGAAGACAGAGGTACAATATATAGGCAAGGATCAATAGGGTTTATAGAAACACCCAATCAACGGTGATCCTTGCCTTATCAATGTAATCTATCTATCTTAACCCCTAAGGCAGCCAAATTTAATAGGCTAGGCGCCAGCCCAAGGCCGACCCATTAGGGCGCGCTTATTCTAACACGCCCCAGATCAATCGTCACCACTCGCACGTTTAGATGGACCTAAACTCCGTGGAAAATCAAGTAGGCGCCCTTTGGTGAAGATATTCGCATATTGCGAAGAGGTGGGAACATGCGTAACACGAAGATCACCAACGGCGACTCGCTCCCTGGACGAAGTGAAGATCGATCTCAATGTGCTTGGTGCGCCGATGTCAACTGGTTGGAGGTCATGTAGACGGGACCGATGTTGTCACAATACACCAAGGTGGCGCGTCATAGAGGGGCATGCGCCTGTAAGTAGTTGGCGGAGCCAAGTAGCTCTGCAACTCCGTTGGTACCGCTAGGCGATACTCTCTGGCCAAAGATCGGATCTTGACATCGTGTTCGGGCGCTTCGAGGACCAGAAACAAGGTTGTCGCCAAGGAACACCGCGATAGCTCGAGGTGGACTTGCGAGTGTCCGGACAACCAAACCGGCCGTCGGTGTAGACGACAAGATCGGGCCGAAGTAGATGGTCGCAAAGAAGAGACCAAGGTGAAGAGTGCCTCGAACGTAGCGAAGAATCTCTTCGTAAGGCGCAAGGTGAGGCTCACGAGGATCATGCATGTGGAGGCAGACTCACCGAATCGCATATGCAATGTCCGGGCGGGTGAACGCTGTGCATCGGAGAGCTCTAGCAAGGTCGCAGTAAGTCTCAGAGCATCGCATACAGGGCCCCATCAACTACAAAGAACCTTCGGATTGGTGTCAATCGGAGTGGAGCACGGCTTGCACTCTGTCATTCCCGCACGCTCGTAATGTCCAACATATATCTGTCATTCGTGAGAGGAGGAGGCCATCACCACTTATTTGAACTCAGATACCAAGGAAGTGATGCAATGCACCGAGGTCTTTCATATAACTCCCCGCCAAGTTACCAAATAATCCGCCAAGGAGACCGGGTGAGGAAGCCGTGAGGACAATGTCATTCACATAGAGCAACAGTAGGTCATGATCTCGATCCACGCCCGTAAATAAAAAGTGAGGTGTCCGACTTGGCTTCAACAAACCCAATAGACAAGCAGAACGAGGCCATCCTACTGCATTTATGTGCGCGAGGAGCCCGCTTCAGCCGTAAAGGGATTTCTTCGTAAGGCGCATAAAGTCCGGTGAGCCGGATCTTCAACCCGGACGGTCGGCCGGCAATACACAACCTCGCATAGATTGTTATGAAGGAAGGCGTTTTTCACATCTAGCAGGGTGGATGGGCAGTGTGAGAGCGCCAAGGAGAGCATCAGGCGACAGATGAGCGGGCTTCACCACAGATCGATTAGCGGGCGGCGGGCGGCAGAGCAACCGAGCAAAGCGGTGTTAGCGGCTGCATAAAGCGGAGCCAGCAATGTCGTGGTCGACGCGTGTAGTGGTAATACGTGAAGGCCCGATCCGACGGAGAGGTGGGAACCAAAGGGTCTCCGCGCGCCGCACGCAGGCAAAGTGATGTAGAGCGGGAGGCCTCTCCAGCGCGTGTTGGGCAACGCTGCTGCTGCGCGGCGCCAGAGGTGTCCCCGACGCCCGCAGCGCTGGTGGAATGTAGAGCGCGGGCGCCGGTGGATCATCAAAGATCATCAAGAGTGTGGGCGCCCAGCACGGCGGTGCGGTGGGACCGGGCAGGGCGCCTGGAGACATCAGCGGTTCTGGGTGGTGTTCCTGCAGACAAAAACTTGTGCATCGATACAATAGGAGGGAGCACAGGGTCAGTAGTATCGTCATCGAGGATCTCAGAGGTTCCGCTGGAGCACTAGGACCATGGCGCTTCCGGCAAAGGGAAAGGCCGTTTCATCGAAGATGACGTGCCGGGAGACGATGACTCTATTGGAGGAGAGGTAAGGCAGCGGTACCCTTTGTGATGAGCGGAATAGCCTAGGAAGACACACAGGTGATGCATGTAGGGGCGAGTTTGTGGGGTGCGAGAGCCGACATGTTTGGGTAACATTTGCAAATCAAGACTCATAGGTGATCATATGTCGTTGCTTGCCGCTTAACAACAAGGCAAGTGCGGCGTGGAAAATCTGGGAGAGTCTTGGTAGGCGAGATGTTGAGCGGATGATGGGTCAGAGAGAGGCCTCTACCAAAGAGGGATGGAGGCATGGACGCTGAAGAGAAAAGTGAGCTTAACGACATTATTGATGGAGCGAATAATGCGCTCAGCCTTTACCGCTTTTGAGACGATATATGTAGGGACAGGATATGCGAAGGTGGATGCCCTGAGTGAGGAAAAACTGACGGGAGCTAGAGTTGTCAAACTCTTTCCCGTTGTCGCACCGAATGACTTTGACCCGCACCAAATCGGGTGGAGGCGTGAGCGATGAAGTGAGCAAGCGTCTTTGAAAGTGTTAGATTTAAGCCGCAAAGCGAAACGCCCACAAATAATGAGTGCAATCATCAAGTATGACCAAGTAGTATTTATAACCGTAAATGCCGACAACCGGAGAGGTCCATAAATCACAATGTATAAGATCAAACTTGGTAGACGACGGGAGGTGGACTCATGAAAGGGCAAACGAACATGACGCGCTTAACCGACAAGTATGACATAACTCGAGCAATCAATCCGAATATGACAGAGACACTAGACGCGAAGCCGACAACGCCTCATGACCAGGGTGGCTAAGACGCCGATGCCACAAATGGGGAGGAAGCCTGGGCGACAAGGAGTGTCTTTGGGTAGGCGCAGAGGGTATATATGCCCGAGCTATTGCACTGACGATCTCGGTCCGAGATGGAAGAACCTCACTGTAACAACTAACGGGTCAAACTCAGCAGTAACAATTATTGTCGGTAGTAAATTGGCTTAACAGAGATAAGATTCTTAATAGTTTGTGGCGACACAAGGACATTATTAAGACGTAAATTACGAGACAACTCAGAGATCCAGCAAGCAAAGGATGGGAAGAAGAGAGCCATTACCGACAACAATGGATGAAGGAGTAGGGTACCAAGGAGAAGAACATGTGAAAGAGAGGAGGACCGAGATGTCATATGTGAAGTAGCACCGAGTCAAGTACCACTCGTTGGACGTAGGGAGGGTCGCCGACGTTGTCAAGGCCGAGGCGAGGGCCGTCGTCCCAAGAGGGAGGCCGCCACCGGGTTGTAATACCCGGGCGCACATCCACCGCCCAAAGGCCATCAGGAGTGGAGGGCGCTGCTCGCTGGTGGACAAGCAAGGGCGTCTTCTTGCTGCTGTTAGGCGAGGAAGGCTGCTTCTTTGCACGTCTTTGCCAGCCGTCTGGCGCCAGCAGTGAGGAGGCACTAGGATGGGTGCCGCCGGTGGACGAGGTCCCCCGCCACATCTCGAATGGTTCCACCAGGTTGTAGACGCTGGGCCATGGCCGCCGCCACGGCCGGCTTCGCCTTCGCTGCCGCTGGCGCCACTAAAGGGGCGTGACCTCTGCCCGTGAGGGCCACCGCCGTTGTTGTTTTTTGCCGCCACCGCCCGCTTGTCGCGACGGTTGTTAGGCGGCTTGAGTGCCCACCAGCCGCTGCGCGGCCGAGGACGCAGGGGCGGTGGCCGGGAGTGGTGGAGGCGGCGAGCGCAGCAAGGTGTCGCGCCCTGCGGGTCTCCATGGTGAGTTCTCGAGGATGAGGTCGCCACGAGCCTCCTGTGAAGGTGGGGAACGGTCGAGCTCGACGGCGAGCGCCCCAACATGGTCAAGCGCCGTTGAGGCCGCAGATCACGTTGAGGACGAGCGCGCGGTCGGTGACGACCTCGCCAAGGGCCGTGAGATCATCGGCCATCTTTTTTTACTTATGGCGATGGTCGGTGAGGGAGAGGTAGCCTCGGGACGAGGTTGCGTAAACCGTGTCTCGAGGTGGATGGAGCGAGCCTCACGGTTGCCAAGGGCGCGACTCGACGGCGAGCGTGCATGCCGAAAGCGGTGGAGCCCTAGGCGGAGATGATCTCGCCAAGGTCGCGTCGGTGAGCGTGGCATGACGATCCAGACTTGACGACGCAGTCCATCCGGGCCCAATCGGGGAGGAATTGGGGTGGAGGTTCCTCTCGAACGTGATCCTGGAGGGAGAACTTGCCGAGGATGAGAAGGAACTGATCACGCCAGCGGTTGAAGTTACCGGAATCGACGTCGAGGATGGTGGTGACGTGGTTCCGGATGTTGCTGACTGCAACAGCCTGAGCATGGAGCTGCAGAAGGGCAACGGCCTCGTGATGCAGCATGGCAGCCCGAAGATCGTGTGGCGGCGCTGAAGTGTCTCCAGGTGCGGCGCCAGAGGGTTCCGGAGCAACGGCGGCAGCAACGGCCGCCCGCTCCTTGGCAGCGCGTGCCAGTGCCTCGCTAGCGCGCTGGGTGGCGGCGTCGCGATCCTTAGCCGCAGCTGTGGCCTCCTCCTCGGCCTGTTGGGCGCGAGCTAGGGCAGCATCACGCGTAGCCTGACGCTCGCGCTCAAGACGCTGAGCAGCGGCGGCAGCCTCGTTGGCCTTCTCCGCGACGAGGCATTGGGCGACAGTGTCTTCCTGGATGGTGGCAGAGGAGGCGGCCAGATCGTCCCCAGCCCTAGGGGTTGCTGGAGGGGTGGAGGGCATGGTGGCGCAGCACAGTGTGTACCGGCGCGCGGAGGTGCGCAGCGTGGCGAGGGGCCGGCGCGCGTGGAGTGGGCAGCGGAAGAGGAGACCTAAACCTAGGCGTCTAATACCATGAGAGCGAATAGGTCTCGGGAATTGATTGATAGATTAGCAGCAGTATATGGTACAATATATAGGCAAGGATTAATAGGGTTTATAGAAACACCGATCCTTGCCTTATCAATGTAATCTATCTATCTTAACCCCTAAGGCAGCCAGCCTAACAGGCTAGGCGCCAGGCCCAAGGCCAGCCCATTAGGGCGCCTATTCTAACACATAGCACTACATTTTGTTGCAACACACTTCTTGAATTGAATGTAAGCGTTTTAAAAATTGATACGTGTGATGGATGGCTCATAGAGAAATGCCCAATTATTTTGCATGTCAAATGCGACTTCTGTTATTTGACAACAATTTTCTGTTCAGATACTCAGGTCCAACCGTACATTTTGTGGATGAGCACTATGATACTGGGAAAACGTTTGCCCAGAGGGTTGTGCCTGTGTTTGCGGATGACACTCCTGAGTCATTGGCTGCAAGAGTCCTTCATGAGGTAAGATTTCAGCCTTGTAGCCTGAGATAGCTCCAAGCTCCTTCTGCACATAATTGAAGTTAATCTGCAACCAGAAGTATTGATCGTTTAGTTGATTTGAAACTTGCACCTCAGGAGCATCAAGTTTATGTTGAAGCAGTTGCTGCTTTGTGCGAGGACCGCATTGTATGGAGGGAAGATGGTGTCCCACTTATCAAAAGTCGGATAAATCCTGATGTGTACCTCTAATTGACATTACTAGCACCATTTTGAAGCAATAATGGAATTTGTTGAGCCCCTCCCACTTTTCCAAGGCAAGGGGTACTTAATAGTTGACGTAGGTTGATACAGGGCAGAACTTAGTTGTCATCGAAACATTCCATGTGTTGGAAGTGGGAAACAAATTATTCCAAAAAAAAAAAAAAATGGGAAACAAATTATTCCAAAAAAAAAGTGGGAAACAGTGTCCAATAGACTGCAGTATGCATTACTGCAGGAAACAAGGTTGGATTTTACCTTGATTTGAGATGACTACCGCGATTGCATTATCCTTCAGGAATTCCTTTTTTTACTGTCTCTGGTGTTTAGATGAGCAAATCTTATAAACGATCACTCGATCTTGTGATGGTCTTTTATTGATTGAAGGTCTTTTTAAAACAAGGGGGCCACCAAACAGTGTGTTTTGCCTTTGTCGTCCAGGAATTCTTTATTACTGTTCGTGATGTTTAGATGAGCAAATATATAAACACTCCCTGGATCCTATGATGGTCTTCTATTGATTGAAGATCTCTTTAGTACTTGACAGTTGACACGTCACTTGTTATATTATTGTATGATTGTCGCCCCTCTGAAGTGACCACGAATTTACTTAAAACTTAACTCGCATAGCAGGAATTCTAGTGATTTCTATTTTCTACCGGAAAATTCTTGAAGGTAGGCATGACTTGCTTTCCGAAATCATATTGACAATCTGCACATAATGATTTTGTAAAGAAAGAGTTCATAGACATTGTGTTGTTGTCGTTGATGCTTTGTCATAGTCAATGTGATCATCGTCACCATGAACAGACAAATACAGCATGCAGTTACAACCGGAGTATGCTCATTGCTTAACGAGATGTTTTATTCCATAATTATGTTCCCCATGCTGGCTTTAATCAGTCAATACAAGGGCAATGTTGGAAGCACTTGAATAATTTACACTGTTGCAGGCTTGCGGCATCACAGGAAAAAAAAATGAAAGAAAACTTGAACAAGACCACAAACTATCAGGCCCATCATCAGCTGCTACCACAATATCCCCTGTTTGGGGTCCCCTCTCTCGCCGGCGAAAACCCTCAGCTGATATGAAACTCCCCGCTGGCGTGAACTTGCTTCACCTGTTTGTCATACTCGTCTTCACGATCCTCTTCTTCCTCATTTTCTTCGTCTGGTTTCTTGCTGTCCTCCTGCTCGTCCTCCTCCGCCGCCCAACCAAAGCCAGCCACGGGGGTGGAGGAAGGAGGCGGCGTCCGCGCCTTCTCCACGATCTTCATGATCTCCTCCACGGACTGGACGGAGTAAGTCGGGGCGCTGTTGTCTTTCTTGTAGTACATTGCCTGTGCAGCTTCTGTGAGCTCTCTAGGCAGGTTCTTCAGGAACCAGGGGTGGTTCCTGATCTCCCTGATTGTTATTCTCTTCATGATTTTGGAGATGTAATTAAATCAATGAACCAAATATGAACCACTTAAGATGATCCTAAGTTTAAATATATGGGTACCTTTGCAGAGTTTGCAACAAAAATTCTAGAAAGCAGTTCCTTGCAATCTTGGGATACGTGCACATACTCTGGTATTTTGTATTGGATTGACATGATCCTCTATGAAAAGAAAGAATATACCAAGAATAACATTAAGAGACAAGAACTTGGGGTTTTAGATTGCTTGTTATTAATAGAGAAAAAAAAGAGAAGCTCTGAAGTTGTTACCCCAATTGTCTTTCTGAAATTCTTTGGGTCATCTGGGTCCTCAAAAGGGTAAGCACCGACCAGCATCACATAAAGGGTGACTCCACAGGACCACACATCGGCTGTCTGTACCATCAATCAGATGTTGCAAATATGTTAAGGCAAAATAAATAAACAAATATAAAAGCAATGACAAAGCGGTAAAGTTTGAACTAAAGAACATTTATTGTTATCAATACGAGTTTTAGAAGGGTTCCATATTCTATTGAGGCACAAGCCTCTAATGACAAGAACACTCAAAATGATGATTGGAATTCTGGATATTGTGTGGGATGTTCTGAGACTGAATTTCTACTGCTAGTATTGGGTACATGTAATTTGCTCACTAAAAGATGGCATACATCATTCAAGTGGTCTTCATAGTAGACAAAACCTCAGCTATGTTACATTTGTAGCAAATTTCTAAAATGTACGGTATGAGCTTTCATAGAGCAAAACAATACAATTGGGGTGAACATTTGACCTGCATCAACCCAGCTAAACAAACAAGAAATAACTTCCAAAGAAAAGATAAACAAGCAGTGATATAAGGCTGTGAAAAAATTCAAATTGAGGGTTTGCTATTCCTCTAATGGTGATATTCTGAGGACAGATAAAATATGGCGTCAGAGTCTAGTTTGGTAGCTGCACGTCTTTGAAAACATCAGTCCTAAAGTAGTTAAGGAGTTTAGGGCAATATAAATAACTGAGGTTGTTTTCAACTCCATACAAATGAGTTATCAAACTGAAACTGCTGATCCAGGAACTGTGCAGGGAAGTCAAATTCACTCAACACAAAATTAGGTAGACTTGGAGATAATAAAGACTGTGAATACAATCTTTTAATGTGAAAGCAGACAGAGAACTTTATGAAATAGGAGTGGGCGCCGTATGGTTGGACAGATCAATGCCACTGTGATCTTTGCTTAGTCTTGAAGGGATGTTCTCGAAATCAACCAAACAAAAAAACAATGAGCTATCTATAGTCTCAAAGGCATCATACTGTTTCTGACAAGCAAATGCAATCAATTTTGCAGTGCTGGAAAGGAGAAACGCAAGCAGAATAGTAGATTGGCATGGTTTGTTGATTGGAGCAGCAGCAACAACAACAACAACAAAGCCTTTAAGTCCCAAACAAGTGGGAATAGGCTAGAGTTGAAACCCAGCAGAAGCAATCAAGGTTCATGCATGTGAATAGCTGTTTTTCAAGCACTCCTATCTAAGGCTAACACCCTGTTCGCTTGGGCGTATTTGACTTATAAGCCGTACTTTTTCAGCCAACGAACAGTACTTTTTCTCACACTAAATCGGCCAACAGTACTTTTAGTCATGGCTTATCAGCCAAATAAGCCCAAGCGAACAGGGCATAAGTCTTTGGGTATATTCCATCCTTTCAAGTCTCCTTTTATTGCCTCTACCCAAGTCAACTTCGGTCTTCCTCTGCCTCTCTTCACGTTACTATCCTGGCTTAGGATTCCACTACGCACCGGTGCCTCTGGAGGTCTTCGTTGGACATGTCCAAACCATCTCACTGTTTGTTGGATAGCAATAGAACAAAATGCAATCACTGTTTTCAGGTACTGACAATGAGAAAAAGAAAAAGGGAGAGTAGAAAATAGCTTCAAAGGACCACAAGAGGCCAAATAGCAGTTCAGTCTAACATGACTGCTTGAAAAGGATTGCACTTGAGGGCCTCTTGTGATAAACATCAATCAGTTAAAACCATGATGGTAAAATGGCTACGAAAAGGACATAAAGTATGAATTGAACCTCTAAAATGAGAACTTGTTGTGTGCTATCCCAAGTTCCCCACCAACTTGTCACAAGGATGGATTCACCTAATATTTTCTTGTCTGTTCCTTTCAAATTCCTAAATGATGGAAAAGTAAAAAAGTTCTTCTGAATGCTGCATGCTCCTATTTACAAAATGGCACTTCCTCCTCGCCATTCACTGATCTTCAACCTCACTCAAATCAAGTAGCACTTATGAACAATATCTGTATCTACAGAATATCACGCTTTCTTCAGCCGAGCTAACTTTCTTCCAGGCCACAATTTAATAAAGCAAATGGAACGTACAGACTACAAAATCTTGACCGCTAATCTGGTCCAAATCCGATGAACCTAAACCTTTTGCCCACCTTCGGTTGTGTAGCGTGCAGGGAAAGCAGGTGGAGCCTGCATCGCCATCAAGCATGATATCTGATCGCCGGAGAAACAAGAAATTGTGAATGTCCAACTCGCTTCACACGAGAAGGAACATACAAATCCTTCCATGATCTCTTTATGCTTTTTCAGAATGAGTTCTTTTTTTCAACTCAAACCACTGGGGCACTACACTAACACTACTCTACTCCTAATTCCAACAGTACCAGATCGCATTACCAGGAGCAGCGGCAACAGGAGCTTGTGACACTGACGCTCACACTATGTGAGAGTCAGCATGGTCTCCGGGCCCCATTGCACAGCCTGTTCGTCCCGAGCCCGGCCAGAGCACTAGCACCACTGTCTGCATGCAGCCTGCCGCCTGCGTACCTGAAGCCGAATCACACGGCGTGCGCACTGCGAGGTCCCGAATCACGATGCTCGCTGGGCCCACTGCTCGGTGGCAGGAGGCTCTGTCTGCCCGGCCACGGGCAAGCAAATCTCAATCCCGGACAAATGCCAAATCCCATAATCCGCCAGAGCCCGGAGATCTCTGGGCCCCGGGGCCCACTGGTCGATGGACCCTACAACGTTCCGGGTTTTCCACGAAAGGTTGAGCCCGGTCTATTGACATGCACTAACTCCAGTAATTCTAGTTTTCTCATTAGTCAAACTATCTAAGATTTGAACAAATCTATAAAAATAATGTTTATGACATTAAATAGTTGTGCTATTGAGATATATTCAATAAAAAACTCTAATAATACTTATTTTATATTATATCATAAATATTGATATTTTTTGAAAGAAAAAATATTGATATTTTTAGACTTGGCAACAGTTGCACTCATGCGATGGGCCCACATGCTGACACTAGTGCGCTCGCTTATAGACCTGGTGTACGGACACTCGGGGGATGGCATTCCGCGTTACGTGGACTCCAAGGGGCCGTCACGTGCTCGTACGCAGGCTCACGACAAGCGAGACAGGATCGTCACTGCGACCGGGGGCCCACTTTGCCGCGTCTCAGTCTCAGGGGAGAGAAGAGAATCTGACGAGGGGGGAGTGGCAAGCGAGACTGACCTTGCCGTCGTATTCCCGGCGGGAGAGCACCTCCGGGGCGATGTACGCCGGCGTTCCGACCGTCGACTTGGGCTTCGAGTGCAGCAGCGACGACTGCAACCAAAAGGATCACGGTGGAGAAGAAAGGCGTCAGTTAGTGCGAGACGACCAGCAGTCTCTTCTTGCTTGGTTCAGTGTTTCACGGAAGAGAAAAGGAACAAGTTTCATCAGGCAGGCAGAGAAGCATTTTCGGGTGAGCAGCAGAGCAAGCAAAGGTGGAAAGGGGGCGCCTTTTTTTTTTTTTATAAGGGCCTGTTCGCTGGTTACGCTGGTATTGGTTTGGAGAGAAAAATACTGTTGGCTGGTTGATTTGAGCTGGTTGAAACCAACGAGCGAAGGGCGCCTTTTGACGGAAAGTTCGTGTGTTTTTAGACTGGCCTTAGAAGAAGAAAGAAGACGAAAAGGCCGTAGTTTGGAGGTTAGACAGCACCTTGGAGTAACCAAAGTCGCAGATCTTGAGGCAAGGCGCCGGGCTGCCGTCCAGCAGCGTGTTCTCCAGCTTCAAGTCTCGGTGGCAAATTTGCTGCAAATCCAGGAGAAAAATCTCGCGTTGGACACTTCTTTCTTTGTTTGCTAATAAAAAGGTCGATCTTTTTCCCATTCTTACTGCACTTACCATGAAGTGGCAGTAGCTGACGCCGCATATTAGCTGCTGGAAGAAGTACCTCACCTGCAAGGACAGCACAGCCACTCAGCCAGCAGTCAGCTAGCCCAGCATTCACACGAATTTACTAGCACAAGAAATCCCATCCCCCGACATGGGTTACAGGTAGCCACGTGATTCGGGCAAGCTAGTAACCGATCCCCACCTCGTCTTCGCTGAACCTCCCGGCGTTGCAGATCCGGTCGAACAGCTCGCCGCCGGCGGCGTACTCCATCACGATCGCCAGGTGCGTCGGCGTGAGCACCACCTGCAGGAGGAAACGAACTCTCGCACAAGCTCTTCTTTTTGAGGGAAACACAAGCTCTTCTTCACCAGCAACATAAATAAAAGAAAAAAAGATGGCATTTTTTGCCCACCTCCTTGAACCGGATGATGTTGGGGTGCCGCAGCGAGCGGTGGTTGATGATCTCCCTCGCCACATTCTCGTCAATCTGCAAACGCAAACGAGTGATTCACATGTCAGGAGGACCGCCCTGAATCTCACGCGACGCGAAGCATCGCCGTGCAAGAACTCGAGCCGGGCGGACGGAGCATCGTCGGTTCCAGAGCGCCGGACCTTCTGGCCCCGGGGGATGTACTTCATGGCGACGAGCTCCTTGGTCTCCTTGTTGCGCATGAGCCGCGCCACGCCGAAGTTGCCGGCGCCGATGTCCTTGAGCAGCTCGTACTTCTCCATGGCTCCCTTCGAGGTCGTCGGGGCGGAGAGGACTGGACCGCGGCAGCTGTCTGTCTGATCGATCGGGCGGCCGTTGGGGTTGGGGTTGGGGGGCGGGTTTGGAAGCTTCGCTGGGGTGGGGTGGGGACTGGAAAGGCGAGAGGAGGGGGAGGGAAAGCGCGGAAGGGGAGGATTCGAAGCTTGAGGAGGAGGCCTCTTGCTCGCTCGTCCGGTTCTTCGCTGGGACGAGTTGGGCACCTATGTATGGGTGGCAGCGACAGCCGAGGTCTGAGGAGTCTGTTTTTATTCGGTGATTTGTTTAACACAGCTTCGATCGCCATGGTGTGGCGTTCTTAACTGTTTCACGAATTATTTTTTCTCCAAATGTTTAATTGCAGTTTGAACCCTTGGTTTCTTTCAGTTTGTGCTACGGTCCTTGCGTGCTCTGCTAAGTTCTTTTTTGCTGATTATTTATGAACTTTATTTATTTAAAACAAAAAACAGGCACACCCACCGTTCACCACTGTGAGAAACACGGTACGTCTCCGAGAGAACAGAGTGGTATTTTTTAGAAAGAATACGTAGCCGCAAATGCAAGCGTCTATGTTAAGACCCTGTTTGTTTAAGCTAAACTGAATCTAGTGGGAGAAATTTGTTATAAATGATAGGCAATATAAACGACGAGGCAATATAAACGACGAGGAACAGTAGATCAAGTATAAGGGACATAAGATTTTAACGTGGAAAACCCTCTCAAGGTGGAAGGGAAAAAACCACGGACACCAGCCAGCAAATCTTTACTATATTGGGTGAGGTTACAAACGTCGGAGATTTACAACTTGGGAATATCCTAACCTAGGGGTCTTCGTCTATGATACATATTTTTCATTAGAGAGGTGGTCCGTATATATAGGGAGGAAAAATTTCACACCCTTGTCTATTAGCAATATGGAACTAATAAATGGTGTAGTCCCTCTTAACGCTAATGGGCCGCTTCACTTCGGCTAAAGCTTGAATTTGGATCATAGCTGAACAAACTCCACATTGAGACAAATTCCTTCTTATAGTATAAAATGAACCTTCACCCTGAAACAACAAAGAAATACTTTCGGTGCCAAATAGCCTCTTGGGCTAAACAGTTATACCAACTAAGCTTGAGCAAAGCTCAAACTTAACAACAGGAACTGACTTTGTCAACATATCAGCAGGATTATCATGTGTGCTTATCTTGCATACCTTCAAGTTACCTTGCGCGACCACATCGCGAACATAATGGTATTTGACATCATTGTGCTTCGTTCTCTCATGGAACATCTGATCTTTAGTGAGACATATAATATTTTGACTGTCACAAAATAAATTAATACAAGAATCATCTCCACAAAGCTCAGCAAACAAACCTTTCAACCAAACTGATTCTTTACATGCTTCAGCAATAGCCATGTATTCTACTTTAGTGGTAGACAGGGAAACAACGGGCTGCAATGTTGTCCTCCAACTCATAGCACAACCACCAATAGTGAACACATAACCTATTAGAGATCTTCTCTTATCCAAATCAGCAGCAAAATCTAAATCCACGTAGCCAGTGAGTCCCTTATCAGTCCTGCCAAACTTCAAACATGCATTTGTTGTGCCACGAAGGTACCTGAAAATCCACTGAACAGCCTTCCAATATTCTTTACCAGAATTAGCCATGTATCTACTAACCAAACTCATAGCATATGATATATCAAGACGAGAGCAAACCATGGCATACATCAAAGAACCAACATCACTAGAATATGGAACTCTTGACATGTACTCAAAATCCCCATCCGTGCTAGCACATTGTAAAGCTGATAATTTGAAATGAGGAGCAATAGGAGTACTAACAGACTTTACATCATGCATGTTGAAACGATGAAGAACTTTCTTAATATAACTTTACTGACTAAGAAATAACAAACCAGAATTTATGTATCTTGTAATTTTCATACATAGAATCTTCTTAGCAGCACCAAGATCCTTCATCTCAAACTCACTACTTAACAGTTTCTTTAACGTAGTGATTTCTTTCTTACCCTTAGCAGCAATCAACATATCATCAACACATAACAGCAAATATATAGGTGATCCATCAATAAATTTAATGTACACACATCTATCAAATTCAGACCTCTTAAAACCATGTGACATCATAAAAGAATCAAACCTTTTATACCATTAACGAGGAGACTGTTTCAAACCATATAAGGCCCTCTTTAATTTGCAAGCATGATCCTCCTTACCAGGTACTATGAACCCTTTTGGCTGGTCCATGTATATCTCCTCCTCGAGCTCTTCATGTAGAAACACAGTCTTTACATCTAACTGCTCAAGCTCAAGATCTCGCATAGCAACAATATCAAAAAATGTACGAATTGAACTATGCTTTACAACTGAAGAGAACACATCATTATAATCAACGTCAGAAATCTGACTGAAACCTTTTGCTACTAACCTTGCCTTAAATCTTGGAGGCTCACTAGGAGACAAATCCTTCTTTCTTTTGAAGATCCATTTGCAACGAACGACCTTCTTATGTTTAGGCAAGCGCACAACATCTCATGTGCCATTTTTCTTAAGTGACTGCACCTCTTCTTGCATAGCGGAAATCCACTTCTCACGGTCACAAGAAACAACAGCTTCAGTGTACGTAGCCGGCTCATGAATGTTCTCAACATGTTCAGCACAACTAAAGGCATAATAAACAATATCATATTCCTCAATTAAACGTGGACGAGGTCCACAACTCCTCTTTGTTCTGCGATCTGCAATAGACTGATTTTGAGGCTGCAAAGTATGAGGTGAGTGCTGAACAATATCATGAACATTGTTATCAATAATTTCATTTTTCTCACCATCTACGTGCTCCACCTGCACGCTAACATGTTCCTGCTCCTCATCAGAACCAACTGGTGAAACATCTGTGGACAAGCTGTCATTAAACATAATAGATTCATTGAAAACAACGTTCCTGCTCATGAAGGTCTTTTTAGTTTTAGGATTCCATAACTTATATCCTTTAACTCCAGAACCATAACAAAAAATAGACACTTAATGGTTCTAGGTTCTAGCTTTCCATTATCAACATGAGCATAAGCAATGCAACCGAAAACTCTTAATTGTGAATAATCAGCAGGCATACTAGACCATATCTCAATGGAAGTTTTCTTATTAAGTGGGATAGAAGGTGATCGGTTGATCAAGTAACAGGCGGTGTTAGCAGCCTCAGCCCAAAAACGCCTATTCATACGAGCATTGGACAGCATGCAACGAGCCCTCGAGATGATGGTTCGGTTCATGTGCTTAGCCACACCATTCTACTGAGGAGTGTACGGGGTGGTGTGGTGCCTGACAATGCCTTCTTCTCTGCAGTAATCATTAAAAGCATCCGAACAGAATTCACCGCCATTGTCAGTACGAAGCAATTTTACCTTCTTTTCAGTTTACCTTTCTATCATAACTTTCCACTCTTTAAAAGCAGCAAAAGTATCATCTTTATTTTTCAAAAAGTAAGGCCACACTTTTCTAGAGTAATCATCAATAATGGTAAGCATGTAACGAGCACCACCATAAGAGGGCTTACGAGACGGCCCACACAAATCAGCATGTACATAATCAAGTGTACCTTTGGTGGTATGAACAGATGCATTGAATTTTACCCTCTTGTGCTTACCAAAAACACAGTGCTCACAGAACTTCATCTTACCCACAGTGTAGCCATCCAGCAGGTCTCTCTTGATCAATTCTACCATACCAAGTTCACTCATATGCCCAAGACGCATATGCTAGAGATTAGTTTTACTTGGTTCATCATTAGAAACAGTAGCAGCAGTGACGGAACCATGTAAAGTACTTCCTCTAAGAACATATAACTTTACAGAATTCATATCACCTATCATATGAATGAGAGAGCCTTTTGATACCTTACACACTCCACCTAAACCAGAGTGTTTGTAAACCCTCCGCATCAAGTGTGCTGAGGGAGATGAGATTTCTGGCCATCCCTGGTATGTGTCTCACATCTTTCAGTGTGCGTATCATGCCATCATGCATCTTGATCTGAACGGAGCCAATGCCCATGATCTCATGTGGGTTATCTCCCATACGCACGACATCTCCACTCTACACAGACTTGTAAGAACTGAACCAATCTCTGTTAGAGCATATATAAAATGAGCATGCAGAATCAAGTATCCATTCATCACGACCAGCAACACAACTAGCAAAAACAACCAGAACATCTCCTGAATCAGAATTATCAACAGGGAAGACAACAGAGGCCTTACCATCAGCATCAGATTTATTTTTCGGTTTATACATACCATTTCAGCGTACCTGCAGGCAAATTCATTACAGCCCATCCCCATAAGAGATAATTAAGCACACAATGAAAGCAGTAAACTAAGATACTCTCCATATATATATCCCCAGATATATATACTTCGGTATCCATAGCTACCCAACAGATATACCCACAATTAAGTACCTTCATATATACATGTGGGTAACATGTAAATATTTCAGTAACCATAGCTAACTCTCCCCTAGACCGATAGTTGAACGGTCATGCTCTCACAACTCACACTTACCTGGGCGTAGAGGCAATTGATCCATACATTACCATTCAAGTGAACGTCATCCATACAATAGCACGCCGTATGGACGACGAAAGTAAAAATTTCAATAAAGTACATCCCCCAAAGTTAGTACTTAGATAGCCACCTAATAGTCCTTAATTGGGCATAAAGGAGGATGTCGCTAGCATAGTTTTGCAAATAAGTTTTGACAAATTTTTCTGTAGCTAAAGTTTTAGTCAAAATAGGAGTTTTAAAACCAAAACTTTGTTTTTAAAACTATGTATATGATAGTATTATGCTTAACCTTGCTCTGATGTCAGCTGTGACAGAACCGCTCAATTTATACAAGATCAAGTACAGCTATCCCCGCTAACACGTTGACACGCGCATACTTTCACTTATACAAACCCGGTAGTCCGCCGAGTATCACGAAGGACCTCGGTAAATCAACATCACAACCAAGATCGCGTGATTAAGCAAATACACATCACATACGTAGAGTTGCAGCGGAAATAATATTACAATTAGGTTCACAAATAATAGTACAAGTTTAGGTTTTAAAACCGATTAGAGAAAACAACATAGCTTTCAAATGATTACATGAATATAAGTTCCAAATACATTGCTAACATAAGTGACATCCTCAGATAAAAGCATATAGGTGAGAAGTAAATACAGAGTCACCGAGCCCACCGGCGGTTAGCCACCATCTTCCACAGGCCAAGAACTTCACCTGCAACATGGTGGGATAAACCCTGAGTACTCGAATGTACTCAGCTAGACTTACCCGTCGGGAACCAAAACAAATGACACCAAGGATTATGCAAGGCTTTCTTTAGTGGGCTAGCTGACTCATTTGCAAAAGCATAAGCTATCATGAAGACACCATTTTAAGTATTTTGCATCATCTTTATTATAACCTATCCATCTAGGTAAGCACCTGTACTATAGCAATCACTTGATTAACCAATAACATCCAGTTACCAATTTAGATTTAGCATATCCCATACCATCCAGATAACCATCATTGTTCCATAATAATTACTATGATGCCGTAGCTCGAGTCAAGTGCTCACTATCCAGGAGCGATGGCGATTCGAATCGATTATTAACCAGCTGGTAATTTATTCCTTACACAAACCTCACTCACCCGCTAAAGTGAGGTATCGGTCACTGAGTCAACTATCTAGGAAAAATCTCGAGTTTGCCAGGAACCACATGTACCCGGGGGCCGACCGACTGCCTTTCGGTCTTATCATCGCGCCCCTGTGTCCTACCACGCTTGCTCCGGTACAGTGCGCTGCGGGCAATCCACTTAGCCCAAATAATCTCACAGCTTCACGGTCGAAAGGTATGTTGTTCGGCCAGCTAAATGTAAGGCATGCATTCAACATGACCCGAGGCCCAACAACGGTCGGTCCTTAATCGACACAGACGAAAACTAACAGCACCCTAGAACCCTGTCTGGTTGCCTCCAACTTTTCCATTCGATCTCCAATTATCCATCACACAGGGTTAATTCCAGGATACCATTCTTTCTATAGCTAAATTCTTCCAATAACCACCTATAATGTAGGTGACCGGATATCACCGATCGCAACCGGTTTAAGCAAGGCTAAGCAGTTATTTGATCCTGACCTAACAGGGTAAAAGATAATAAAGTAGGCAAGGATAGTAATAAATGCATCAACGGTTTCAATCAACTCCTACAACTTAATGCAACAATATATAAACTCATATATATAGAAAGAATTGCTTTTATAAATTAGGAGACTTATAATGCTCCGGGACTTGCCTAGGATCCAACACAAGTCAGTTCAGTTAGCTTGCACCGTCCTGGTGACGTCTCAGGTCCTAGCACTCGCTTAGTCCTTCCATCTTCAGGATAGATCCTCCATACACCGTCTTCGGGTTTGGCTCCAACATCACGTTCTTCACGTGGTTCATCTAGCGTACCTAAATGAGATGCAAGATGCATGTGTATGAATGTGATGAATGGTAACACAAGATGCATCACATAAGCATTCAAGACAAACCAGTTATTCATGACAATCATAGAGTCAAGGCTGCAAACAGCAGCAGCTAATTTTACTCATAACAGGAGTTGTACTAATCCAAAAGACATGCAACAAGACAATCTGGAAAGCTTATGAAATTTTATACAATTCATCTTTAATCATCTTAGCATGATTCTCAAGTTAACTAAGTCAAATCTACCCATTTACAGAAACTGGTCTAAACAAGACAGAGAACAATCAATTCTGTAACCCAACTTTAAACAGCTGTAACTCTTAAACTACCTGGCCAAATGACACCAAATTTTATCAGAAGCTAGATACATTAATTATATACAACTTTGTTATTCTCATATTAAGATGATTTTATAGTTAGAAGGGTCAACCAATCCAATAATTGCATCTCTGTCCAAAACATAGATAGAAACTGACATACCACTTTAAATAGCTATAAATGGAGTTATACATGTACTATAAATGTGATTCTAGACTTTTTAGAAAGCTTAGCAAATTATAAACAACTTTGTTGTAAACACCTAAAGCTAATTATACTATTAAGAAGGCCCCACAGTAAGAACAAGGAAACCCTATCTGGGTTTGGGCAGAAACAACCACAGAGATTTAAGCAAGTATAACTCAAGATCTACTTAGCCAAAAATCATGATATTTAACTTTTTGGAAAGCTTAAGAAAAGTAATACAACTCATATATTTTCATCAAGTCATGATTCATAACTTAACTGAGCCAATTAATTCAAACATGCAGGACTACTCAGAATAGGAGCAAAGCAACACAAGGAATTTGTTATTTTTATAACTCTTAAACCATCAATCCTAAACTCCTAAAATTATTACCAGACATCAAACATCACTAGAGTAACACTCCATAAAAATTTCACATTTATTTGAGCACCACCACTTCAGTTATGAAAAAGACAAGACATAACTAGTATTAAGAACCTAACTGCATAGATCTATTTTTACGGCAAAATATTTAAACTAAAACATGTAATATTATAGATCTACTGCATAGACAATTTCACAAGGATTCCAAAAAGTCATCATTTGTTATTTTAGGATTTTTCTACTAATTAATACGAATTTTCAAAGTTCATCATTCAAATCTGTAAAAAAAATCAAAAGAAGAGGAATGTAAACTTGCATCGGGGTCCCTACGGAAAATATAAATCAAACGTCAGCGAAGAGGTCCTCCTGAGCACTATTCACATGAGTCACAACTTTACAGAAAGAACCTTCCCTTTTCTTGAATTCAAGCACGAGGTCCTCCACGCGGGCAAAACAGAGGAGGCGGCAGGGGAATCACCGGTGCCAGCCGGAGAAGGCTCTTCGGCGGCGGGGGATGGGCGGCGGAGCATCAGGGGGTCCACGCGTATCCATTGAGGCACTCAGCTTGGCCGGAGACGACCCAAGGTGGCCCGGCCACGCACGCAAGCTACAGCCGCGACGGCGGCGCTGGTGGCGGCGAGTTGTAGGAGCGAAGCCGGCGGAACAACTCGATGGGAAGGTGCGGCGCGAATGGAGGAAGGAGTAGGCGGGTTGGTGGGGCCTGAGGAAAAGCCGGAGCTAAAACAGGGCGGCCATGGAGCTTCGGCGGCGGCGGCCATGGTGGCTCCGCTCTGGTGCGTCCAGAGCGCGAGCGAGACAGCGAGAAGGGACGGGTGAGGGATGGGCAGCTCTGGCGCTCGGTTATGGAGAAGTAGGGCGTTCGGCAGCGCGTGGCACTGGGGTAGGACGCACGTCGGCTAGCTGTGGCCACACGGCAATGGTGGGAGCGCGCCCTGGTGCGTGGCGTTCACGAAGACAAACTGTCGAGCACGTGGCGAGCGCCGGAGTTGACATGGTGGGGAGCCAATTTGGGCCACTTCCAGGCCGAATCAGACATTGGGCCAAAAATGAAGTTTGTTCACCTCAGCCTGCTCTACACTTTTCATTAAGGCACTCTAGTCATTTGAGCAACATAACAGTGGGTAATTTAATCTCCAAAGTGGCATTGTCAATGCATTGACGGCGATTAACAAACTCCAAAAATCGATGGTCAAGACAAAGTCCAACGAGTGCCATCTTTATACATGCTCTTCGCCATCATGTACACTCCAACTTTTATCTTTGGACCTATAACACCCCGGTGTTATGCCTGCATTTAGTCACTGCAAATCATCCATATCATGCATCATCAAGCATTCTAATCACACGTGCCTAATCATGTAAATAACAATTGAAACACTGCTTCGAAACATTTGAAACATGTTGTGAAACCTGAATGTGCATACTTTTGTTAGACTTGTTTTGCCCTGATTTTGCTTGCTAGGTTAGTAAAACATGTTTGGCTACTATTGTAAATCATCTAGCAATGTTTAGTTCAATTTTTGGAGCAAAGTTTGTATTCAATTAATTAAAAATTTGGCTTCAAAAATAAATTCCCAAAAATTAGGGTTTTGAGTTAAACATGGACTTTGACCTTACAATTC